GGGGACCGGAAGTGCCCGGCGCCAAGATGGCGACGGAACCTTCAACCTTTTTCCGGTTCCGCTGTGGTCATGGGCAACTCTCGCGAGAGAACGGAAAAGGCGTGGCCTCGGTGCCACGTCGGGGTTGGAGCCGCACGGTGAGTCCTCCGCGGGGCAGCGAGAGGGGCGGCCAGACGGGCGTGAGGCGGCGGGGGGCGCTCTGTCCCTTCTCTCCTGTCTCTATGGTTGCTCCCGTTCTCCCCTATGCGTTGCGCGTGGGGCACTCTATCCCCTCTCCGCCGTCTCTATGGTGGCTCCATTGAGCTCTATGAGCCGTGTGTGGGTCACTCTATCTCCCCTCCCTCGTCTCTATGGTTGTTCCCGTTCTCCGCTATGGGCTGCGCGTGGGGCACTCTATCCCTTCTCCGCCGTCTCTGTGGTGGCTCCGTTGAACTCTATGTGTTGCATGTGGGGCGCTCTATCTCCCCTTCCCCGTTTCTATGGTGATTCCCGTTCTCCCCTATAGGATGAGCGTGGGGCGCTCTATCCTCTCTCTTCCGTCTCTATGGTAGCTCCATTGATTTCTATGGAGAACCGCCCCCCGGTGGCCACTCTATTCCTCCCTCCCCCGTCTCTATGGTACCTCTATTGAGCCCTATGGAGGGTCACTCTCCCATGGCCGCTCTATCTCCTCTTCCCCATCTCTATGGTAGCTGTATTGAGCTCTATGGGCTGTGCATGGAGTGCTCTATCCTCCCTTTCCCATCTCTATGGTGGTTTCCATTCTTCCCTACAGGCTGCCTGCAGGGCACTCTATTCTTCCTTCTCCATCTCTATGGTAGCTCCATTGATCCTTTTGGAGGTTCACTTCCCCATGGCCACTCTATCCCTCCTTTCCCATCTCTATGGTACCTCTATTGATTCCCATGGGGAGTCACTCCCCCATGGCTGCTCTATCCCTGCTTTCCCATCTCTATGGTACCTCCATTGATCCCTATGGAGGTTCTCTCCTCTGGCCACTCTACTCCCTCTTCCCCATCTCTGTGATACCTTTATTGATCCCTGGGGGGGGGGGTCATTTCCCCATGGCTGCTCTATCTCCTCTTCCTCATCTCTATGGTACCTCCACTGATCCCAATGGAGGGTCACTCTCCCGTGACCGCTCTACTCCCTGTCCCCATCTCTATGGTAGCTGCATTGATCCCTATGGAGAGTCACTCCCCCGTGGCCGCTCTACCCCCTCTTCCTCGTCTCTATGATACTCCACTGATCCCTATGGAGGATCTCTTCCCCCATGACTGCATCTCCCCCACCTTTCTCCCCACAGCTTCATGGCGACGGCCCTCCTCCACCCGGGGGAACACGTGGCCACCGGCATGGCTACCGTCATGGCCGCCGCGTTGGCCCTCTGCCTCCTGCCCTCCGCCTCTCACGGGGACCAGCACCACCACGACCCTTCCCACGAGGACCTCCAGCACCACCATCACCACCACCACGAGGATGGCGGCCACGGCCAAACGCTGACGGCCATGTTTAGTGGCCGTAGCCACCACCACTACCATGGGGACCCCCATGGGGACCCCCATCATGGCCACCACCACCACCATGGGGACCCCCATCATGGCCACCACCACCACCATGGGGACCCCCATGGGGACCCCTATCATGGCCACCACCACCATGGGGACCCCCATGGGGACCTCCATCATGGCCACCACCACCACCATGGGGACATTGGCCACGGCCACCACCATGGGGACCCTCACCACGGCCACAGCCACTCCCATGGGGACATTGGCCACGGGGACCCCCATCGTGGCCATGAGGACCCCCACCACGCTCATGGCCACCACCACGGGGACCCCCATCATGGCCACCACCATCACCACGGGGACACTGGCCAAGGCCACCACCATGGGGACCCTCACCACGGCCACAGCCACTCCCATGGGGACATTGGCCACGGGGACCCCTACCACGGCCACGGCCACCACCATGAGGACCCCCACCATGGCCACCACCATGGGGACATTGGCCACGGGGACCCCCTTGAGGACCCCCACCACGGCCACCATCACGGGGACCCCCACCACGGCCACTCCCATGGGGACATTGGCCACGGGGACCCCCACCACAGCCATGGGGACCCCCACCACAG